CGTATTCATCCGCAATTATTCCTTGTTCCTGCCACTGCCCGTGGGTCCTTCTTCCTGCCTCCATGGATTGGCCTGTTCTGGACACTTCACATGCATGGTCTTTGTGACTGGCTTCTTCCACTTGGCAAAAGGTACTCAAGTTTCATGCATGTTGTGGCATGTGTAAGAACCTCAGTTTTAAAATGCTGAACAACAAATCTGCTGTGTGGATATTCCATATTAGGTGGATCCATTCACCACTGGTGGATATTCGGTTGTTTCTACTTTGGGGCTAATATGAATAATGCTGACTATAAAAGTTCATGTACAAGTTTTTGTGGGGACGTGTGTTTTCATTTCTCTCAGGCTGTACCTAGGAGTTACGTAGTAACATTGGGTTTGACATTTTGTGGAACTGTGCAACATCTTTCCAAGGTTGCCCCATTGACCTTTTAAGCAGCGATGTATGAGGGTTCCAACTTCTCCACACCAGTAGTTGTGGCTGGCTGTCTCTTTGATTCTAACCATCTGGTGGTATGAAGTTGTATCTCATTGTAGTTTTTTATTTGCATTTCCCTTATGAGTTATGAGTCTGTACACCATGTAATTAAATTATAAAATGTCTGAGCTTCACAGAAAGACTTCACAGATGAGGCCCAAGAGTAATGTTAAGTGACTTACCCACAGTTGTGTGTAGTGTGCAGCAGCAGTGTCTCCAATGTACTCCTGACTCCTACCCACTGCTCTGTTCTGGCCCCTGTGGCCCTCTCCCAGCTGCGCTAGGGCCTCTACCCCACTGGACGAGTGAAGTGACTGGATTCCTTATGAGTCAGGGTAAGCAGGTGCTCTGGTGTGGCTCAACTTTATGCCCTACCTTTTCTTCTTTGGTTGGATTGCTTTCATCTCTGAGAATGGTTTTCTCTGGGTGCAAACTCGATGCTGGAACAGATGGTTTTTAATACTTGAAGCTGCTTAATGTTTTAAACAAATGGTGGCTGAACTCCAAGCATAGATAATTTGAAGCAGCTTTCTTGGTCACTCGAGTGCTAGCAAGATTGGGTGTAAATCCATAGGAAAAAATTAAACCTGCCCACCTAAAGTTTTCACTGTGACCAAGAATACACAAAGGAAGTAAGAACATGTATTTAAAGTCAAAGAATGTGGCGGGGCGGGTGAGGCCAGCTAGAGCCCCTGCTGGGGCGTGGGGTTGGGAGGATATAGAGACAGGCGGATATTTTTCAGGTCTCCCGGGGACACACCGCCTGGATCCGCAGATAAAGTTGAAGAGAGAAGCCATTCTTCGTATCAATTCTCAGGGAAGAGCCAGGTCCCCAGACAAAAACCAGAAATGAAAAGAGCTGGTCTGGGGGTTGGCTAGAGTATAGATTATGCTGCAAAAACAAACACACTAAAAATCCCCACGGTGTATCAGAATGGAATTTTACTTCTTGCTTGTGCATCTTTCATTGTGGGTTTCCCCGGGGGCTCAGCACTCCAGGCAACTTCTGCCTTGAGTGATGGTCCTGGGTTTCTTCCGGAGAGAAGAGAGATCTAGAGCTCAAACCAACCAACAAGTGCTTCACCTTGAAAGTGACACAATTCACATCGCTTCTGCTCAGAACCAATAGCTCAGAACTGGTCACGTGAGCTTGTGGGGAGAGAACTGGATACGAGCGAGCCCTGAAAATGCCCACCCCCGCCAGAGAAAGGGGTGCTTTTTGCAACTTGCTCTCCCCAGAAAAGCTCTTGGAGCTATCTGTGTGTCCGTGAGGGTGTCCCTTTGTGGTAGGGGATACAGCCAGTGTGTGCAATGTGGAGGGGAAGCTGAAACAAAGGAGAGATACACGCTCAAGATGATCAAGTTCAGTGTTATTAGCCAGATTATCTAAATAGGTCCCAAGTGTTTTCTGAGCTTATTATCTGTGTTCCCAAACATGAACGCAGTCTTTGGCTTAGCTAAGATTTGGGGAAACTCAACAGGTATGGCTCATCCTTGCCTGTGCCAGACTGTGGAGAAGGTGATATATCAGGGGCAGAAGAAGACCAAATGTTCCAGACACGGCTGGCGCCTCCAGTCCGGAGAGGCTCATTCATACGTCCTTCTTGAAGATTCTGTTTTTATGTGGACTTAAGTTGGTGAGCTTGCCCTAAAGAACAATATAATCATCATATAGATTCTCCAATACAAACAACCACAATTTTTAATGCTTTTACACCATTATATTCCTTAAAACTCCTAAGGGAGTGCCTCACCATGAGAACCACTTAATGCTTATTCAATACATTGAAGAATGAACAAGAAGAATGAGAACGATCAAGGAGCTGCGGCACTTCTAAGGCCAGCCTCATTCTGATAGACTCCAGAGTCCATCTTCAGCCCTAAGTGGCTATGAGACCTGGGACACTCCAGACTTGACTCAGGTCCTGCAGAAACAGCACAGGCCCCGAGTGCCGGGGTCCCGTTGGCTCGAATTGCTCCTGTGTTCAGACTGTTGGACTTGCCATTCATTCCCATAACCAACCATCCTCCAAGTCCTGTTCTACACTGATACTCACTTGAACTGTTTCTCAGTCGTGCATCAACATGATTCTCATGTCCATCCCTTCTTCTCTGGACCCTGTCAGTTCCCAGAGTACTGGAACTGCCTGAGTGTTTGCGACAATATCATTGCAAGAAGCTACTGTGAGCACGGGAGACAGGGGTGAGATCAGTCCCATTTCAGACACACTGAGTTTGAAGAACATTCCAGAGGAGAGATCCAATGGGCCGTTGGAAGTACAGACCAGGAGACTGGGTATACACCTTTGGGGATTCTTGGCGTTGCGGGTATTTGTAGCTGTGGAGACCAAGGAAGGAATGTGAAGACGGTATGTGTCAAAGTCCTTTCTGTAGGGTCCACTGTTGTTTTTATCATTTCCACTTTTAATGAGGCCAAGAAAGAACTTAGGAGGTGAGAAAAGGGAAAAAGAGCCAAAAGCTTTCTGAGAAGGAAGGGGTGAGAAGCAGGGGCAGAGCCAAGTATTAATTTATGGAAGCAAGAGCAGAGAGAGAGAGCGTGCTGATGAGGGGCGGAGCGCTCAGAGCCCGGAGCAGCGGCGAGGCCTGGGGCCCAGGTCTGTTTCCCAGCTGTGTTACCCGCCACTGCCACTGCGTTCCGCCACGGCCCTCGTTTCTTCGTTTCCTCTAGGAGGTGGCGATCTTCACACCTCCCTCAGAACTGCTGTGGATGAAACCACAGAGTAGAAGCAAGTGCTTTGTAAAGAAGAAGGTGTTGTCAGTGGGGGTGGAGTGCAAAGGCAGCAGAATCTAGAGGAGGGGCAGGGGAGGAGGAGGAGGAGGAGAAGTGGAGGATGGAAGGAGAGGACCAGGCACCTGGGGGATGGGGCGGGGCAGCGCAGCAGGGAGGTCGGAAGGTTGCCATAGGGTACCAGCCCCCAGGAGCCTGTGCTCCCCTAGAGGTGCTCTCATGTGGCAGGACACCCAGCTGGAGGCCCAGCTCTATATACTTACTGGCCGTGTGGTCACGGCCAAGAGCTCCTAATCCGTGTCTATCAAACTCTGGAATCCCATGCGAGCATTCATTCACAAGTACTGACCCTGGGGCCCCACCTCTGACCAGCTGCCTCTGACTCTACTGGCGTGGGAGCTGGGCCCACAAAAGGTGCAGCTTCCAGAAAAAAACCACGGTTCAACCCTGTGTGGTCCTTGGACCTCTTCTTCCGTCAGTTTGTCCCACTGACCACAAGATGGTGCCCTCTCTCTGCAAAAGCTCTGATGTGCACCAAACGGGAAACGATCCATTTTCTCTATAACCCTAAGAGAATGGATTTGAATTTAACAATATGCACAGCATCTCATTAAGCCAGAATTCAGTATCCTCGGTGTCCAGCCATTTCATGTGAGTGTTCCTGCTAGGAACCGAACTGGGTTGGGACATGTCTATTCTTTTGCATTCCTCAGGGGCTCCAACGAACAGCAGAGTAGGCACTCACTGTGACTTAGGATCATCACCACTAGTATCAACAGCTAACATTCATTCAGTCCTCTACCGGTTGCAAAGTGCTTTCCACCAACCATCCTCGGAACAACCCCATGAAATGGGTATTGTTCTCATTTATAGGTGAGATGAAGCTCAGAGCACTTGTTCAAGGTCACTAAGTGAAAGTTGGCAGAACCAGATGCTGAACCCTTCTTCCCTACTGCACTTGGGTGAGAAGGGCGGGCACCCTCGGAGAGGCTGGCAGCAGTCAACCGCTGGGGACCTGCAAGTACAGCCCCGAGAGGGGAAATGCTTCAGGATCACCCCCGGATGACCTCCTAAGCCAGCAAGAAAGATGGACAGGTGTCCCCGGGGAGTGTCACGCCGTCAGAGAGAGCAGGTCAGTGCTCAGGTGGGACTGGGCTGAGTGATCAGCTGAGGTAATAACGCGTGTGAGGTTTCCAGTGCAAAGCTGTATACAGTCAGCAGTCATTCAACAAGAGGGCAGATCTTCATTACGTTTAATTTTCTGTTCCAGGGAAATGAACTGCTATGCAAATGGGAAAAATGAATGTTAATTCTGCCTTAAGAAAAGTCGTTCGCTCATCTCCAAAGGAAATTCTTTTCTATACCAGCAAGTGATATCTCATGATGTTGGTGGATCTGATAAAGATCACTTATTTTTAAGATCGCTTACAGACTTGCTGCCAGGCAGACTCCCACAGTCAGTCAGGGGCCAGGTGTCAGGGCCCGGAGCCCCCATCCCCCAGGTGTCTGCGTCCCAGACGAAGGGGCTGCAAGTGTGGGTTCCAGTGCTTGGAGCAGGGAGACTGGCATCAGGACAGCAGCAGGTGCACGGAAAGCTTGAGAGAGACATTTTGATCGTTTTACTGACTGTTGTAGCCACTTTCTATGCCTCCACTTCCCCGTCTGTAAAGAGGTGTAACAGTGTCTGTCTCATATGAGCGTTGTAAGGGTCAAACAGTTTATTCGTAAAGTGCTCAGTCAGGCCCCACACCCAACATGCAGTAAGCACCGTGTTTCTTTAATGTTGAGTACATGGATATGAGCACACCCATTCATATATTTTACAAGTGAAATTTGAATTTTTTCAAAATTCCAAATAATTTTAAAATTATGTTATTCATACATTTGTAGATACAGGAAATACACTTCACGAAGATTAAGGTATTGCCTTATGATTGATTAAAAGTTGAAATCCCACTGAAAATGCACACGTTTGATTAGAATGGTTCTGCACACATCGCCTTTTGGGCCGTAACACCACGCTTCCCTTCATTACCGCTGAGGGCAGACAAGCCCGCCCATGCCTGTCAAGAGGCAAATACAGGCAGCAGCGCAGGTTTTATTTATTTTTTTATTTTTCATTTTTTAATTTTTAGTCAATATGTATGTCTATAGAAATAAAGTGTAATGCAGCAACCAGATTTTTCTTTCTCTTTGTTAAAGAAAAGTTTTCCATTTTCTCCGGGCGATTTCTTCTAGGCTTGGAAATTAGTGTTCCTTTCAGAGGGCGCCCTTGGCATTTTCCGGACTATAAAGACTTCACCCGAGTTTCTGGGTGAGGGGTGTTCCATAGTGATACTCAGCTCAAACCTCCATCTTCAAGTGTGAATTTAAAGCATTCACAAAAAAAGCGTTTGCTCTGAGAGATTTCGTGAATCCCTGGAGAAAAACTGGAATGCCAAGAGTGTAATGAAGCAGGACTTGGAAGAAAAACATAAGCATTGAACACTGCTTTTCAATCTAGGGATCTTTTTTTTTTATAACCCGTTTTGGCATTTTCTTTTAGTAAAGCTACTGTACTGTTTCCTAGTAATGGCTATGTAAGACTTCTGTTTCTTTTTCTTGCAGGCTGTTTTGAAGAGATGGGGATAAGGATGTTTCATTTCCAGCTACCATGACACTCCCTCCTCTGCACTCCTGGTACCTGGGCTGACAGATGCAATAGCAGCCCCGCCTCCCTGCAGAAACCAGCTCAGAAAGCCCTGCCACTGCAGCCTGCCCCCTCCCCCACGCCCTCTCCAGCCCCTGACCCTTGAGCAGGTGGGAGACTAGGGGCTGGGACAGAAGCAGGGACACGATCCAGGCACTCGGGTAGAACCTAAACTACAGTTTTACCCTACAGACACAAAATTTTAAAAGAAGTTCAAGTTCTTTAGCACCAAAATTATGGAGCAGCCGCACTGAGCATACCACAGCCTTCTATGCATTGAGCCAGAACCCTAACCAACATCGCATGACGGTTTCCATGGAAACATGAAATTCTAATTCTAAATGCCTGACCTCAAATTAACTTTTCCCACAGAACTATTTCACATACACCCAACACACTCAGGGACGGTTCCTGCTTCCACCAATCAGGCTGTCCATCTGTCCATCCACTGTCTTTTTATGAAGGTACAGCATAATTGCCATAGAAATATGAAAAGCGAAAAGCTAAGATTGAAAGAATAAAGTTAAACATTTTATATCTATTGAGTTCAAAGCAATGGTTCTGTTTCAAACTCATCTTCACTGAGTTTAAAAAATCAATATTAAAAAATGTCTCCTTTTTTATAGGGGTGGTGTGGTATAAAACACAGTACAAGTTTTGTAAACTGTAACTCTCAGGTGAGGCTACTTAACTTTCCCAAGCCTAAGTTTCCTCACAGATAAACAGAAATTATTATACTGATTCCCTACAATTAACTTTTAGCTGAGATCATGTAAATCTCTACCAAAAGATTTGGCAATTCTCATTCTTTCTCCCTCTTAATCTACTTAATCTCTTTTTGAACTCACTGCTTTAAGTCAATAAAAATTTTTAAACCACATTTAAGTTTCAGAAGCTGTGATTTAAACTTTTTTCTATACTTGGGTTCCCTCTCTATTTATTTGCTTGATTTAGGTCAATGTCCAAAACATACTAATGTGAAAAGATTAACTTACAAACTTAAGTAGGTTCAGAGAGCTCCCTTATGTTGATGATTGCATTGATGCTCACTTCTCTGAACAGATTCACCTGTGCCTACCTCAAAAACAAATTTGATTTTCACAAGACTTTGTGGATTTCACTTTTTTTCCCTTTGAACAGAGATTTAGACATTCCTAACAGCCTCAACCAAGATTCTTTCTGTAACAAGTTACCAAAGTCAGATTATACTTGAATGAATCAAAGAGCGACCTCAGTAAAGGACAAACTGGGCTTTATTTAAGCAGATGCATCAGGTGTCCTTAAGTAGATGCAGACAGGTGTCTGTCTCGCGGCAGAAGCAGAGGCGAGGGTGGGGAGAGGCATTCTGCAAGCAGAGCAAATGTGTGTGAGGAGTGGGCAGAGGCCGCTGTCCAGTGGGGTCCTGCTCCCTCCCTCTGCTGCTTGGTGTGCCCGGGACTCTGCCTCCTCTGGACACTCTCTCACTAGTCCCCATTCCTGGTACCTGTCCTCTTACTCTCAGAGTTGGACCTGCCTGTTGTTTGGAAGGATTCCACAGTGTTGCAGTCCTCAGTGTTTTCAGGCAATGCTGTGTCCGCCGCAGATCACGCCCTGCCTGCCAAGCTTGACCTCAGGGTAAAAAATATACTCTGTTGGGAGAAAACCTGAAGACCTGGGAAATTCAGCACAATTTATAGCCATCCCCCAAATCACATGTATAAGCTCATATTCTAAAATGTTATTCTCTGTAGTTTATAGCAGGATCAGAATGCTTTCTTTGCTTTGAATTGAGAGGCAGTGTTTTTCCCTCCCCTAGATGTGTTTCTCTCATGTGGCAATGATACTGCCAACACTCGGGACATGTCCAGACACCTGGCATTTACCCTGTGTGTGCATTCAGGGTTCATCCAGGTGGCTCCATGTGAAGCCAAATGTCCAGTCCTACGTTCATCTTCAAGAGTGCTGATTTTATTTTGGTGCAGAAATAAGGCTAAATAAATAGGCAAAAAGTAGACCTATAGAAATGGCTTCAACTTATTAATTAACTACATCTTTGACAGAAATTTTAGATAAAAATGGTCCAGAGGACAAAGTGCATAATTAATGATGAGAAAAGGATTCCTTCAAGTCCCATAATGAAGAGTTCTCCCTGCAGTAATCACTTGTCCAGTGTTTCATTGATGCGCAAGTGATTTTTACTTCTTGCTTCTGTCCCCTTCAGTCCAGTACTGCTCAGTCTGCATTTCTGTGAGTCGGGAGATCGTGCGCTGAAATGCAAAGACTTCCTCTTCTCCGGTAAACATGGAGAGACCTTCTGCTGTGCTCTGGTGACCAAAAACAATAACCCAACATCAGTTAGACCACCACCAGATAGAAAAGACAGTCTTTCTCCAAAAGTGCACACCAAAAATAAGTAACAGCAAGCACCAGTAGTTTTGGCACATTAGAAAGAGGTCCACGCCCTTCCCCAAAGCCTGGCAGACAGGGCCGCACTCACTCAGAAACTGAGACGATGCAGCTCCTCACGTGAATCCTTTCAAACAGTCAAAGACACCATTTGGATGGAAGTATTGCTCTTAGAGAAATCACCATTTCAAAAGATCACAGCACATGGGTTTATAAGCAGCTATTTATTTCTACATGTAGGTATAAGTAATCATATTTTCAAAGTTTTCCTTTTAAAGAGTTACTGGTCTCATTTTCCCAAACTTTTGAGAATACATAATTTCTCCTCAGGTCAATAAAGAACTGCTTTCTCATTCGAAATGGCCTTTACCTCTGGGGTTAGAAGAATGAGGTACCCCTCTCATTTGGAGGGGTGAGGGTTTATAGATAGTTTAAAATTTTGACTAATGTTTCTTTATTAAATGTATTGGGGTAACACTGGTTGTTATTATGTATATTTCAGGTGTTCAACTTGATGACATCTGTGCACTCCACTGTGTGTTTCCCACCTGCAGTCTCGTCTCCTCCTGCCACCATATTCCTGACCCTCCTTACCCTCTTCATCTTTCTCTTCCTGGAACCACCACACTGTCATCTGCACCTGTGAGCTTGTTTTCTGTTTATGGATTTGTTGCTTTTGTTTTATGTCCCATATATGAGTGAAATCATACAGCTCTTGTCCTTTTCTGTCTGACTTATTTCACTTGATATAACACTCTCCAGATCCACCCATAATGTCACATATGGCAATACTTTATCTTTTTATGGCTGAGTAGTATTCCACTGTATAAATGTGCCATATTTTCTTTATCCAATCATCCATTGAAGGACACTTAGGTTGTTTCCATCTCTTGGCTATTTGTGAATAATGCTGCAATGAACAAGGGGTACCTATATCTTTATGAATAAGTGTTTTCAACTTTTGGGGCTAGATACCCAGAAGAGAGATTATTGGGTCATATGATAGCTCAATTCTTACTTTTTTGAGGAAACTCTATACTGTATTCCATAGTGGCTGCACCAGTTTACATTCCCACCAGCAATGTATAAAGGTCCCATTTTCTCCATATCCATTCCAATACCTGTTATTTCCTGTCTTATTGATAATAGCCATTCTAACAGATATGAAGTGGTATTTCATTGTGGTTTTGATTTGCATTTCCATTATAACGAGTGGCATTGGGGATCTTTTCATCTATCTGTCGGTCATTTGTACATCGTCTTTCAAAAACTATCTGTTCCAAGTCCTCTGCTCATTTTTTAATCAAATTGTTTTTTTTTGTTAAATTATATAAGTTCTTCATACATTTAAAATTTTATCACCTTATTGGAGGTATCATTTGCAAATATCTTCTCCCAAGGGGTTGGTTACCTTTTTGTTTTGTTGATGGTTTCTTTTGCTGTGCAGAAGCTTTTTAGTTTGATGTAGTCCCATTCATTTATTTTTCTTTTAGTTACCTTGCCTTAGGGGTCAAGTTCACCAAAACCCCTCTGAGATCAAAGTTCATCAATTTATTGCCTATGTTTTCTTCTATGTAGTTTATTGTTTTAGGTCTTACATTCAAGTGTTTAATCCATTTTGAGTTAATGTTTGTGGATGGTGTCAAAAAGCACTGGCTAGTATTTCAATTGTCCACAGTTGAGAAATACAGCCTGTAATGCTTATTTATATTTATACATAAGAAGGCAATGCAGTCACTGTTGGTTGACCTGGGATGAATCACCAAACCCCAAGTACCAGGGAACTGGGCCCGCCAGCATTGGCTGATTCCCTCCAGGGTGGCCCCAGAGTCCGGCACCCACAGGTTCTCCATATGTGTTTATGGAAGGGGGTTGGGAGAAGGATCATGGGTTTCTTTTTAAGCCAAGGGCCTTGCCAAGCACGCCATGGTCTTGGGATAGCCAGGCCACATGCTTGGACACTACATTGTATGCTCTACAAACCCCACAGACATGAACAAGAATATGCAGAAAAGGCAGCATGGTGTGGCCGAATAAGCCAAGAACCAGACACAGGTGGCCAGGTGGCAGCTCTGGGCTGTCAGCAGGGAGTGGTATGATCACTGAGATTGTAATTCTCTATATTTAGTGATATCGAGAGTAAGTGCTATACCAGCTTAAGAAGAAAGCAGTGAATCAACAGTTAAATATATACTGCATTCCTTTTTCAAAATGTAGCCATGTATCAAACCAAAAACAATTAAGCTGTTTTATAATAAAACAAGATTATGTTAATATCAACTACCTGGCTCAGTCCCAAATCATCCATCAATATTCTGCTTTGCTCCAACTCACTGTCATGCTGCTGATGCAGAAATAAGCTTGATAAAGGAGTCGATGCGGAGCAAATTACGCGCACCTGAAACAGAGGAAAATGATAGATGGTGTTACTCCTCACATTTCGTAAGCTGAAGGCAAGAACAAATCTCTCACAAAATAAAATTTTGTTTGTCATAACATGGAGCTTAGATTTTGCTTTTAAAATGTCTGTATTTTTTCTAACAGTTTGTATCTGTTTAAAGTGATATTTTTAAACAGCACAGCACTTTTCAAAATATTTCCATATACCATCACGTGAAGCAGGGAGCCAAGGTTTCATTGGGCAACTTCAGGCCTGGAGAGGTCTCGGTTCGTGATGCCAGACCAGATCGTCCAGTTCTAAGTCCGACGGTCTTCCCATGACATCGGAGGCTGACGTGTACACCTGGCTGCTGGGGGCCCATCTCTGGGTGCATCAGAGACGCTCTCCAGGTGCACTGTGCACGGCTACCCCTGGCTGGGTAGGGCGCTGCTCAGTCTGGTGCACTGCCACTCTACTTACACCCCGAGTTTCCAGATCCTACATCGATATCAATATCCTGCCAAGACACTCTTCAAAAAAGACTAAGTTTTACATTAGTATTTCTTGATTACACAAGTGTTTGAGTGAGTGGGCATATGTGATAATCATATGTTGGAAAGAGTTTTTCTATCTTTATAAATTTTATGTCCACTAGTTTAAATACAAAATAGACTCTCCTTGGTGTTTAAAGAGTCTTGAATTTATTTTTAGGATTCACAGCTATCATTTTAAAATCATTATTTAAATAAATATGCCAATAGTTTAAAACAATACATTGACATTTGGGACTAGTTTTTCCATATCCAAATGGCCTCCCATCTCCTTTTATAAATTCTTTTAATCAAAATGACACTTTCTTCATTATTTAGATGGGAATACCCTTATTTCACAAATTTCTATGACTACATTCTAGAATAATGTCTATTTAATGCTAATTTCTAAAATAAGATAATTTTGACTATTCTAAATGTGCGATTTAGTTAACATAAATGTTAGGAGAGTCCATCATATTGCCAGATAAATCTTTTTTCTCTAATTAGGAGATGAAACAGTGGGGGTGGGGATCATAAACTTTCTTTAAGTTATTCCTAGCTGAAAGATTTTTAAAAAGTAAGAATTCATCAATGCTACACTCTAAGAACCACCTACTAATGTCCCTCTACCACTTTCTTCTTGGACCATCAGCCTTCTAAAAACAGAGTGCCGCCTCCAGGCTCACTCCCTTTATTCCACTCCCACCCCTGTGCAATTACTCCCGAGCAGAGTCTCTGGGTGAGTGACCCCGGAGACCACTAAGCAGTGATGACGCTTGATCCCCCAGCTCTGGAGTTCTCAGCCTCTGGCCTCTCCTGACCTCGGATCTCAGCATGTTGGCCCCACAGGAGTGCGCATGGTCTCTGAGGTCACTCACTGAAGCAGCCCCTTCAGCTCTGCCCCAGAGCCCTGCTGGCTGTCCTTCGTGCTCAGGCCCAGCTCAGGGGCTTTGCTGCAAACTCCCTACCCTGGTGGGAAGTTTGTCACCCTGGATTAGAGTTCAGCCACCACTTCTCAGCATTGTAAGATGCACTTAAGGAGCTTGTGAACATGCAGATTCCTTCCAAGCCCCATCCTGGGTCTTCACGTGCTGGATGGGGTAGGCTCTGGAATCCAGATCGTAAGTAGCCCAGCTGCTTCTGATGCAGGTGTTCCTCGGCAGGACCTCCCAGTGTCTCCCCTCAACCGAAAATCAGTCTGCTCTCCCTCTAGACTCTCAGGGCGCCACCTGTCCAAGAGGCTCTCCCACAGTGGTGACTTCACATTTAGCTCCATGGACATTTGATTAATGTTTCTCTGACCCTCAATTATAAATTCCATGATGGCAGGCACCCCATCTGGCTTTGCTTGACATTGAACTTCTAGCACTTAGCATTGGGCTTGGCATAATAAAGATGGCTAAGGAACAGATAAATGAAACATTTGAGTCTTACCTCTGCCTCCCAGAAGATTCTGGCACGTTCATCCTCCCACCAACGTCCCTTCAATTTTAAAATCACTGCTCTATCTATTTCTATATAACAGTAAAGTGATATTTAACTCTAGTTTGAAGTTGTACTAATACCTGCACAGTACATACACATTTGCAGACATATACTATCTGCAAATACAGTATCTTGCAGTACATCAATTATGGCTCACTTTCTCTGAAAGCTCACTACCTGCCATGTGACATTCTAAGTGCTTCACATCTTCATTTAATCCTCACAACAGCCATGCGACCTAAGTCCCACTGTTACTGACTTTCTCTACAGAAGGCAACTGAATCTGTAGAGGTTAAGCTGGTCCTCGAGGTAGACAGCCCAGCCGCAGGGCCCACTCCTTAACCATGAGGTGACACTGGGTCTCATGAAGGGACAAGGGCTCGGCACTCCAGGCTAAAACATGTGGCTGAAACACCCAACAAGACAGAACAATGCTAGTTGCTAGCATTTCTGGACCATAAGGAGATAGCCAATATTGAGGAGGATATTTAGATATTCATTCATTTGTTCATTCATTATTTTATCAGTTCTATCAGTTACTCATGCAACAAATAATTTATTGAGCGCTCAGTTCAGAGGTAAGGCGCTGTGTTGTACATCATCACAGATAAAGCACATGATATGTCTGGGTGAATGATGGCATCACTGGTACAGCAGAGGGTCTGGTGATGGGAGTTTTCTGATACTAGTACTGCTAGTACTACCGGTACCGTTACTACTAGCACGTACACCGTGCTCAGCTCGTGCCAAGCACTGTTTTAAATGCTTTACATGGACTAGCTTATTTTGTCTTCACAATTCTCTGAAGTGAAAATGTTATCATCCTAATTAACAGATGAGGGAATTGAGGCACAAAGAATCCTGATCTGAGTGGTAGACCAGGATTCCAGCCCAGAGATCTGGCTCCGCAGCCCCAAATGTGCGGTTTTGAGAAAATGCACATTGCATCCTTACCTTAAAATCATAAAAGTTATCAATGAGAGTTATGAATCTTCGAGCCTCAGTCCTTTTTGCCATTGTAAATTGTGGAATGTTTCGCAAAAATACTGTATCAAAATTCTTCGATAGTTCCAAATAGTCACTGGCTCCAAGTGGCTGTAATTAAAATCAAGTAAAAGACAGAAAATTAAAATAAGCCAATTCTGGTTGCTCTTGGATTAGTTTCATTAGAAAACACCTCTTATTTATTTATTTATTTTTTTGTCGTGATGTGCCCCAGGTGGTAGCTTTGGGGCAATTCCACCAAATGGGACAGTCTTTCCAGAACAGACCAGGGGTGGAGCACACTAGGGGGCAGCAGAGGAGGCAGGCGTATGGTGGGAGTGAAAGGGTATCTCCAGCCACCTCAGTCGGTAACTTGTAGGCCCCCATCCTAAATCCAGTCTTCACTCTTTCTATTTATACGGCATAACTTTAAACATGTCCTAACAAATCCTCCCGGGGCTCAATTATAAGTAGCCACTGTTATTAAATAGAGCTACCTTACAATGACATGCTGAATCTTATTGTCACCATTTTGAAATAAGACTATGCCCCACTATGAAACTCATCAGAAAATATTTTCATGTAAGGTGAGGTACAATTTTTCAGGTGTAATGTAGGAGGCACTGGTAACCTCTACAGCAGAGAGCAGGGGGTTTTAAGGACCAGAAGTAGACCGAGACCTCAGTGTAATGTGACACCGCACGCTGCCACCTCTTGATTCGAGAGGGTTACAGGGCTCAAGGTCCACAAAATTATTCACGAAGATACCACATACAGATATAAAGTGCTCGTTCCTGAAACATGAATTTAACTCAGAAATTATGAAACTATCTACAAACATGCCCTTTGGGGTTAGGAACGTTCCCGGGAAATGCCACCCCTCCTCGTTGTGAGCTGTGTGTGGACAACTGTGCCTGTGAGCAGAAGCCGTGAGCGGGGCTCAGGGGAGTGTTTCTGGCCCCACCAGAGGGTGGAGGGGCCCGGAGCCTAAGTGGCCAGGATCTGCTCGGAGGTCTCTCAGAAAGCTCCTAGCTCCCCCTCACCCATCCTCGTGCTGGGACACAGGCATTACGCCTCCTTAGTTTCTGGCAGAATCCGTCAGTGCTTCCACTCCCTGTCCAGAAATGTCCCCTGCACTTGGGGGGCCATTAGCATGAAAACTTCTTTCAGAAATGCAGACAGGCATAGTTTCCTGGGAGAATGAGGGAACTGTGAGGGGAGCATCATCCCCACCTGAGGACCCATTCAAGCCCACCACTACTCTAACAACCAGATGAAAATAGTTACCCTCCATGAGAAAGACTTCTCATGGAGGTCTGGGAGGTAAGAATAAACCTGAGAGTCAAGTTCTGGAGAAATGGTTCCTCAAGAAACAGTGGTTCTGAGGAGGAAGCAGCAATTTGGAGACCTGGGACAAAGAGGCAGAGAGCCAGATAGAGCCCCAAGAATTACCTGACTCCTCTGGAAGTCTGCTTAGGGACTTTCCCCATCTCCACTCACCAACCAGGTACCGAATGGGGAAGAAGGAGATAACCTTGCCTTTCCCATCTCCCTCCCTTGCTGGAGCGCTTTTACCTCCAGACCCAGTGCCTGACCTTAGCTGGGCCTCCCCTGCTCACCTCAGCCACACAGTGTCTTGAGAGGGGGTGTGTGTGTGTGTGTGGTTGGTTTAAGCCGGGCTCTCATGCAAGGAAACCTTGCTGCCAAACCTGATATGGACCAGGAGCATGTGTTAACAGAGTAGCTAGGAACGAGGGCTCTAGACTGCTTGGATTTGAATCCTCAGTCTGTTACTTACAAACTACGCGCTTTTGGCAACTTATGCAATCTTTCTGATCCTTAGTATTCCCACCAGTAATATGGGAATTTGACTCCTATCCCATAGGATTTTAAATAAAATCATGCATGTAAAGCATTTAGCACAGTGCCTGGGGCATACATCGACAGCCAGACCATTTTGACTGCTTTGAACTTTTACTACTTTGAGCTTCAAAGATTAGGCTCGGTACACACGAGCTGAGGGTGTAAAGAAGTGTCATTTGTTACGGGACCAGTTAGTGCTGCTCCACCACCTTAAACCCTCGATCGGCCTCTGTGCATTTCCCGTCCTCAGAGTCATGGCAAGGACCAGGTGAGACTGTGGAATCCTCACATAATGAAAACAATCACCAAATACAGTGCTGTCATGCCAAAGAGGATGACCCGCAACACACCTCTCATGCTCTGAGGGAGACACACACTACTTTTTCGAGATGTTAGAATTTAGTGTCTCATCTTTTGTAAATAAGAAAATATATGTAAAAAATGTAAAACCTTGTCTTCAGTATGTAGTTATGTATAATTAAGCTCACTCTTTATGCACAGACGTGATTTCTATGAGTATAACTACATGCCCAAGGAAAATCATCATCAGAAGTGCAGTGAAGTGCCGAGGGCAACTGAAAATCAGAATTTTGCCCACTCAGCTATTTTTACAAATTATATACCTTTGTCAGTAGGTTCTGCATTTGCCATTATATTAGCAAATATCCCTTTCTTTCATATCCCTAACAAAATTATGTGCTCAATCACAGAAGAAAAACTGAGCTTCACATAGTTATCTATCTCCTTTAGAATGACGGTCATCGGGGAGGAGGAGGAGTGAGGGTTTAACGGATGCAGAGTTTTAGTTCGAGGTGACGGGAAGGTCTGCAGGTGGACACTGATGAAGACTGCACAGCAGTGTGCGTGTACCGAATGCCACCAAAACGTACACTTAAAAACGATAAAAATGGTAAATTGGATGTTGTATGTAATGTTACCACAATAAAAAATAGTCATTGAAACAAGGAAAGGTTATTAATTGCCAAAAAAATTCCAATCTGGTCCATGGAGAGATAGCAATATTATTTTTTCTTTAAAAACATGAGAAAAAAAGAATGAAATGTATTACTACAGAAAGTCTTTTCCCAAAACAAATCAGCTCCACTGAGATTAAGATTAATTTTAAATATAAAAAAGACTTGTTTGGCCCTGGCTGGTGTAGCTCAGTGGATTGAGTGTGGGCCTGCGAGCCAAGGGGTCGTCTGTTCGATTCCTAGTCAGGGCACATGCCTGGGTTGCAGGCCAGGTCCCCAGTACTGGGCATGTGAGAGGCAATCACACATTGGTGTTTCTCTCCCTCTCTTTCTCCTTCCCTTCCCTTCTGTGTAAAAATAAATAAATTAAATGAAAAAAAATTTTTTAAAGATTTTTTAGTAAATATTAAAACAGTATGTTTTCTTATACTGGTTTCAATGCTGAATTGTCCAAGAAGGGACAAACACACTTTCAGGATTGACTTTGGTGACAGATGGGGATTTCTTATTAATCCAAAATGCTCTTTTTCATTAATTGAAATAAGTTAAACAGTTGTAGACAAAAATATAGAAGAGGCTTTGTTCTGTGACTTCTGGTCACGTGACCTTGAGCCAGTCTCTCTGAACTTCTGTGTCCCCCATCACAGGACCTGTCTCGAGGGTTTGTCCCAGGGCTCAATGTGTTGACTTCGTGCAAAATCTTAAAACTGGAGCTGTTGCACGGTTAAGTGCTCAAAATGTTAGCTATTAACTTACAGAGTTCATGTGAGAAGTACATGAAATGACATATGCATACACACTATTGGGCATACAACAGACAATAAATAGTAGCTATTCTTTTATTAACTATTAATTAACCTTTTCCTCAACTCATTAAACCCTGCAGGCTAAATGAGAAAACAATTCAACCGATTCTAACCTGCCTCTGCCTTTCCACACAGAGGTAAAAGCCATTTCCTTTGGTCCTTCCTGCTATCCCTAATCCACCAAAACTTCTGCCATCCTGGCATGCTAGCCTTCCATGAAGTCATCAGAGATGACAAAAATAGCTTCTGCCACAGGCCTGCTCCCTCCCATACGTCTTTTGGTGATACCATTAGCACCATTTGTCGGGAAAGCCCAGGGTCCACATAATGAAGTGCCCCTGAAGCAGTACATGACCCACAGAAAGTGATTACTATATGCTGAATGAATTAGTGAGTCAACGTGTGACTAAAACATACCATAACCTGGGGCAGGCCCGCCTATTCCTTCTTTTAAACCTATTTGCCTCAAAAGATATTTGAAACACACACAAAAAATCACATCCTTTCTTATTTGGCCCAAATGCCCCACTCCCAAGGCAAGCCCTTGGTGGGTGTCCTAGTGTGCATGGAGGAAAATGTCTAGAAAGATATAGAGCAAAATGTTAATGTGGGTTATCTTGGGGTAGTGGAATAAAACATGAATTTTGTTCCTTTGTTATACTCATTTGACCCTCCCTCTGCCCCCAATGAACTTGTGTTACTTTTTAAAAAAAGATTTTATTCTTTATTTTTAGAGAGAGGGGAAGGGAGGTGGAGAAGGAGAGAAACATCAATGTGTGGCTGCCTCTCGAGCTTCCCCTACTGCGAACCTGGCCCACAATCCAGGCATGTGCTCTGACCAGGAATTGAACCAGTGACCCTTTGGTTTGCAGCTAGCACTCAATCCACTGAGTCACACCAGCCAGGGCTGAACTTGTGTTACTTTTAAACAGCAAATACGACCATGCCTTTTTGGAAGGTCATTTTTATAATGGGCATCTATCAGTTGTGTCTCATCTGTGTGAGATCATAATATCAGTTTTAACATGGGCCATTTTTTCTTTGTTTTCTTGTTCCACAGAAGTAGGATTTTTTTTTCAGGGATATTTAAAAAGAAAATAAAACATAAGCTGAACACATATTTTCTTTAAAGTTTGACAAAAGAATAAGGGATTTGATATTTGGGATGAAATTTGACTTCAGTTATATAGTTACAGTCAACTAATGATTCTTCACTCCAGGGTAGCCAAAGAGAGGGAGGGGAAGGTGAATGGCAGCCTCCCCAGATAGTTCATGTTTGGTCCTCACAGCCAAGCATCAGAGTTCCCCAGATCAAAGGCCGATGTAGGGCCGAAACCCATGTCACAGCCCTGGCCGACATGCTCCCATTTACACCGTGTCTCCATCTGAGCAGGTTTCTCCCTATAAGCTCCACGAGCACAGTGCTGTCAGTGCTCCTTTTCCCCACCATGTCCCACAACTTCCAGCC